AAGAACTGATGTCTGATGCTCAGCAGATAACGCTGGTGGTGGGGCCAGGCTGGGGAGGATGCCAGTGTTGTGACTGATCAGATGGCTCCAGCTGCTTTGTGGTGAGGTCTGCAGGGCAGGGGACCCTGCAGTGGAAACTCCCCATAGAGGCTTGGGGACTCTCCATTCTCCAATATCTTGCTTGTTTATCTGCCTGCTTGGCTCAGTCCTGCCAGGGTTTGGTCTTTGAAAATTCTAGGGTTTGGGACCTAAGAGAGTCAGGGATGGGGTGTAGCAGGGAGATAAGTTTATAGATGTTGAAATCAAAGAGACCAAATTTCAAATCTACCAGCTCTACCAGCCTTTAGCAAGTCACTGTTTTCCTGTTTACAAAAATGAGGACAAGAAGAGAACGGATCACTCACAGCGTTCTTATGAATCCTAAAGGAGCTAATGTTGCAAAACCCCTGAGCATAATGCCTGCCCCACAGTAAGTACCCCAGAAAGGATCAATCCTCCTGCTCCCCCTCACTTCACGATTCAGGACAATTTCCGAGCCTCAGTTTCCTATTTTGCATAGTGGGGATAATGACACCTTTTGGAATTGTTGAGAAGATTGATGTAAAAAATTGTTGCGAAAGGGATGTAAAAACGTTTTGTGACTCTTAGGTCTTAGCTTTCCAGCTGACCTATGTTGGGGGTCAAGTTGGACCCTTCCTCTCCAACAGACAACCAACAACACCAACAGTGTGTGGGTTAATGCGCTGGACTGCAAAGTCGGTTTGAACCACAAGGCTGGCAGTTCAAGCTCACTAGCTGCTCCTTGGAAACCCTATACAGGGTCACTATGGGTCAGAACTGACTCGACAGCACTTAACAAGAGCAACAACTCCAAAAACCACTTAGCTAGCACAAGGAGGTTAGGCTTTGAAACCTAGCCCTAACTAATTGAGCAAACTTAGGTCAGTTATTTCAGAGCTCTCTGGACCTCAGGTTCTTTCTCTGTAAAATAATACTGAGTTCATAAGGCTTCACAGAGGATTACATGTGATAGTGCATGTAAAACACTTAGCACTCTGCCTGACAAATAGTAAGCACTAATAAATAGTTGTTACGTGCCGTCAAGTCGCTTCTGACCCATAGTGATCCTGTATAGGGTTTCCAAGGAGCAGCTGGCGAGCTTGAACTGCTGACCTTATGGTTCAAACTGACTTTGCAGTCCAGCGCATTAACTCACAGCACCACACCAGTAGTTAACTATTGTTACTTCCAATGCCCAACTCTAGCCTGGCACTGAGTAGGTAAGGAGGAGGAGGGAGACAGAACTTTGCATGAAATCCTCCTGCTTGGACAGGGAATGGAAGAGAGGTAAAGAACTAACATTGAGCTCCTAGTGAGTACGGGGCATGTTTTCATAGATGATATTATTTTGTCTTCACAATAACTCTTATAAGAATGGAATTGTTAGCCCCATTTGCAGATGGGAAAACTTAGGTCCAAGTTGGCTGCCTAGGCTCACATTGAGAGTTAGTGGTCGTGGGCAGACTGGGGTTTGAAGAGACGTTGGGTTGATTCCAGAGCTTTTTTGCCAGGCTGGGAAACTGCCTGCAGAGGTGTGGCTGGGTGGGGCTGTGCCCATGAGTGATTCAGGTAAGAGTCAGCTTTGGTTTTCCAGACAGTAGGTGGGGCTCAGCAAGGGTGAGGCATGGCTATAAGCGTTAAAATCTAGGCCGCAGCGAGGGTTTCTGGTATGGTGGGCAGGAGGGCATGTGGAGCATGATGTGGGTCACCCCATGTCACTAGGGGGTATAAGGGAGGAGAGTCTTTGCCAGCTTAGCTGGGAGGGTCTCAGGACCTGGGGCAGAGGTGGATCTGTAATGGGCGTTGGGAGTGCTGGTCAGTAGGCCCATCTGGAGAAGGAGGGGAACTGGCAGTTTGGGTGGTAGTCACAGCAGCTGGATGGGTTGGCTATTGAGTTGATGGAGTTGGCCTGGATCCTCATTCATCGGTGGTGGTGGTGGTGGTTCTGTGCCGTGGAGTTGGTTCTGACTCATAGTGACCCTGTACAAGGTTTCCTAGGCTGTAAATCTTTACGGGAGCAGAAAGCCTCATCTTTCTCCCGTGGAACAGCTTGTAGTTTTGAACTGCTGACCTTGTGGTTCGCAGCCTGATTTGTAACCACTATGCTACCAGAGCTCCTTCATCAGTAGTCCATATTTTTTTCATCCATCCAATCATCCAATAAGCATTCATTTCTTTCAGCCAACAGGATATCTTCTATATACTGGATCCTGCGCTTGGTTCTGGTGATATAAGAGTGACTAAGAGGTTCACAGAGAGAGGAGATGGCACAATCCAATGTGGTTCCAGAGGAGGCCAGGGCTGAGTCTTGCTGGATGAGTAGATGGTTGCCATTAGATTAGGAAATCTCCCTAGACATTTAGGCCATCAATTTTGGAGTGGAGGGAGGTGACTCTTTTCCCAGGAATGAGACAATACAAGGACCTCTCCCATGTGTTTCCAGTAGCATGCTGGGCCCCTCCCGTGAGATTTCCCAACAAACCAGTCCAAATCTGAACACTACCTACCCCCCACCTGCTCCAGTCTCTAGATCCTCCCTGGGTATTGTCACCAGTCTCAGAAACCAGAATGTCCTCCTCTACACCTCTACTTCTTGGAAGGTCCAGTGCCAATTAGCCCCATGCCCTGGAACTTCTGCCACTGTTTCTCTCTGCTCTGTGTAGGTTCCCCCTCCCAACAGGTACCCTCTTGATCTGAGCCCTGTCCCTAATGGTTTGCACCAGCACTTCATTCATCCATCTCAAAATCACCAGTGAGGTCATAGAGCCTAAGCAACATGAAGGCTCAATTACTACATGTCAGAACTGGACCTGTCCTCAGAGACCACCTGATTTAATGTTGCTATTGCTCTACTGGACTCCTGGTGTGGCACTATAGGGTCAGCACTGGACTGCGTACCACAAGGTTGGCAGTTCAAACCCACTAACTGTTCCTCAGAAACCCTATACAGTGTCACTATGAGTTGGAACTGACTCAACAGCGTTGCTCCAATGGGGAAATAGAAGCCCAGTGAAGTCAAGAGATTGTCTAAGGTCATACCATGGCAGAACTGAAATTTGAACTCAGTTATCCTGACTCTGAGTTAAGGCTTTGTCTTCAAATACCAGGGTCACACATGTGCTTATTTGAATACTGGGTGGGGTGGCTTGGGAATAAAGAACTGGCAGGAGGTAACTTGCTGGGCTCAGGACTTGAAGGGAGGGAGGGGCTGGGAGTGGAAGATGGGGCCTAGTTCAAGCTCTTCTCTCCTTTCTTCATTGGGAGAAAGCCATCTATTTTTTGGGTAACTGGATTCCAACTTGACCCAATCGTTTTTGCTGATAATCTTGTGACTCACATCTCTTCGTCCCACCAGGGTAACTATTTGAGGACTGTGGTTCTCGGGCAGTGGTGGGGACTAGAACTCCAGCTCTCTGCTGGCCCCACTCCCTCTCCAGGTCTGCCCTGGCTTGCTTCTGTCTCCTAGAGAATCTGACTTTTATCCCAGTAGATCGTGAGAACAGCTTACTTGGGTGGGGAGGGAGGACAGGTCCTCTAGCCTATCTCACCTGTTTTACCTTTCCCACCTGGCAGAGATCCTACCGTGGACCAGGGGATGCCTGGAAGCCAGCACAAGGGCCTCTGGTTCATCTGCTAGGCCTTCTAGGCTTTAGGCTCTAGATTGGCTGGGTGTGGGGGGAAAGCTGAGGGAGAGAATGTGGGGATGTGGGACTAGGAGACTCTGTGATTACTGGAGCAACACTTTCTCCTTCTAGGGTGTTTCCCAGCCGTAAAACAAGAGGCACTGGATGTTGCTGTTGTTAAGAGCTGTCAAGTGGATTCTGACCCATAGTGACCATGTATTGCGTTTCCAAGGAGTGACTGGTGAGTTTGAACCACCAACCAGTGGTTTAAACCAACCTTGTGGTCCAGTGCCACACCAGGACTCCCACTGGATGTTGTTAAGTGCTGTCGAGTTGGTTCCGACTCAAAGCCATGGAAACTCATAGGGTTTCCAAGGAGCAGCTGGTGGGTTTGAACTGCCGACCTTGCAGCTCAAACTGACCTTGTGATCCAGCACATTATCCTGCAGTGCCACACCAGGAGGATTCTGTAAAATTGGTCAGTGGATGAATGTGAATCTGGACAGACCTGGAATCTGAGTTAGAGCTTTGAGAAAAATGGGCTGGACACTCCACCAGATTTGTATGCATTTTCATATTGAATCTTAAGACAACCTTCTAGGATGGATCTTATTATTTCCCCCATTTTATAGATGAGAATACTAGGACCCAAGGTGATGCAGCTGGTAAGCTGTGGAGTCTGAACTTGAACTCACAAGTGTGAGAGTTGTAGCCTGGGCTCTGAATTTCTGGTAGTAGAAGCTCTTGTACAGCAGATCTATGGCATCCCGGAGTGGAGTACAGTCCATGGGAGAGAGGAATCCTCCCTTTGGGGCTGTCTGTGGGAGAGTGAGTTTCCCATTCAGGAAACATGTGCGGGCGAAGTGGCACTGACGCTTTTCTAGCTCTAGGAGGGGTGTCCTCTGGAGGGCAGAATGTGTGGTTCAGACCAAGCGATTCCAGACAGAAGGTGCTCTCAGCTTTGCCCCTACAGCTGGGTGACATCAGAGTTGTGCATTAAGTTTCCGAGCCTCAGTTTCCTATCTACCAAACGGACGCAGTTGTGGCCCCACAGGGCTTGAAAGGCACCAGCGCAGCAGGGATCCAGGCAAATCGCCTCCTTCTCGGACATTCAACAATAATTAAAATGTCATGGCTGGGGAGAGTGCAGAGGAAGTGGGCAGTGGCCGAGGTGACAGCTGGAAGGAGGGGCGTGGGTGGAGTCAGGGATGGGTGGGGAGGGGGCGGGCCAGCCGGGTCAAAGCAACGGGCAGTGTTAGAGACGCACTCACGGGAGCCGAAGGTCTGCGTCCTGCCCTCTTCAGCCGTGCCAACACCATGAGCCGTGAGTCCCGTCCCGGTGCTCCGCTAGTTCAGGAATCCTGTTTGCCTCCTGGTGGAGCCTTGAATGCCAGGCCCAGTCACTTGTTTCTCTCCCTCTGCAGGGCGGAGTCTCTCACTCCGGTTCCCGCTGCTTCTGTTGCTGCTGCCGACGCCCCCGGTCCTAGCAGCGGCCCCCGGGGTGCCCGCGCCGGGTAGGTTATCCCTTCCTAGCCCACGGGGGTCCCTCAGACCCACGCGCCTGTCCCGGCTCCTTTCTCTCTATTTCCCGCTAGTGGGCCCAGCTTCCCCTTTCAGCCGGCGGTGCCTGGGAGCGGCGAGGGGCTGCGGTAGTTGAGGGGTTGGTCCCTAAGACTTCCTAGTGGTGTAATCTTGGGTAGTGGAGGGGGAGGGGGAGGAGTGATAGATTAAGATCTAATACTGGCAGGAGGAGAAGGGACTGCCTCCTTCGCTCCCCTCTCCTTTTCTGGGTCCCCAATAGTCCAAAACGTCTCGCTTAGACAACCCCGCTGTTTCCTCTTTGAGAGGAAGCGGGAGGCTCTAGGAAAAAGCGGAATGAGGAGCCAGTGCCCTTTCTCCAACCTTTAATGTTCTGGGCACCCATCCTGACTCCCAGCCCTAGTAGAGAAAGTCTTCCCTGGTGAGGAACCCCGAGTCCACTGACCATTCAGTTAGAGAGCTTGGCTGCTTCCCGTAGTTTAATCTAAATCTATGAAGGTCCCCATTGTTCATTTCTGGAAACTGAGACTCAGCTAGGTGTCATAAAGTGTTGCGTGGCCAGGGAAGGACTTGAAACCTTTGCAAGGGTTTTCCATTGGGCGGAACACTTGTTGTTGTTGTTGTTAAGTGCCGTCGAGTCGGTTCCGACCCATAGCGACCCTGTACAGGGTTTCCGAGGGTGTAAATCTTTACGGGAGTAGAAAGCCTCATCTTTCTCCCGCGGAGCAGCTGGTAGTTTCGAACCGCTGACCTTAAGGTTTGCAGCCCGATTCATAACCACTATGCTACCAGAGCTCCTTTAATTCCATCCCTCCCTCCTCAATGGACCCGGAGCCACTGTGAGTTTCATCTCGATAAGGGTGGTGGGGAAAGCCTGTAAAATTCGTCCCTCATTCACACAGTGTGTGCACCAGGTTGTTGGTGAAGGAATTCCCTCCTAATTCAGTCAGTCTTCCTCTCACTGCTTACTGCATTTCTTAGTGTGTAGTGTGTGTGTGTATATGTGTGTGTAGTGTGTAATGGGGAAGGGCAGCTGGCCTGCACATAGCTTCTACTACATACCTGTGTGACCTATCCCTCCGTGGGTCTTCATTTCCTGTCTGTAAAATGGGGACAAGGGCAGATGGGTATGGAGTGGGGCTCTGAGAGTCATGCTGAGATGCTGTAGAAATGTGGGGCTATGTGTGGGCTGTAAATCACACTTGACTTCTTGGAGGAGATGATTTGAGGATCTGCGGAAGCCAAGGGAAGGATGGAGGGTGCTTCAGACAAGGGTTTGGGTATGAGCAGAAGAGAAGGAAGATTCCTGTGACCATCACTTTACAGTTGTTAAAGCAAGGCTGTGGGCATCTATTTGGATGCTCACAACAGCTCTTCTGGGGGAGATGGGGGTCTCTGATGCCCAGAGGGGTGATCCCACCAGTCTAAGACCTGCAGTGAGCCAGGGTCAAAGCTGGGGCTAATCAGGCTGCCCCAGTGACCCATCTTATCCAGTCCTGGATCAGCCCGGCACTTCCTCTGAGGTTCTATCCTGTCATATCCAGGCCCTTCAGGCACACTAGGCCTGCCCTGTCTGGCCTCCTTTATTTATTCAGGAGCACCCAGTGAGCTGTGAGCTGTGCCATTTTGCTCTTTGCCTGTTCTGCTCACCTTTATACCATAAGTGTTTCAATGGAATTGTTGCTTCAGTTCACAAACATTCCTGAGGACTTGCGTTGTGCCAGACTTGGGCAGGGCCCTTGAGATACAGAAAGAGAGTGAACTCACAGTCTGATGAGGGAGACAAAAATGCCAGTAGCTTGCCATCCAAGGAGACCCAGGCCATGACCGGGGTCTCTGGTACTCAGGAGAGGGTGCAGTTACTTTTCAGTGTGACAAGTGAGGTAGTAACATTTGAACAAATGAGGGAGGGGGGAGAGGCACTGTGAGAAGGATTTTTCTGGTAGAAACAATGGCACTAGGAGGAAGATGGGAGCTTAGAAGTAGTAGGACATGAGACTGGAGTGAACTGCAAATGCTGGACAACAAGGGCTTTTCAATGCCAGGGTGAAGAGCTTGGTCTCTGGCCTGAGGGGATGAGACTGAAAGCTGGGGAACAGTAAGGAGGCTGCTATAAGGGTTAAAGGCAGAACAGATAACAAGTGGGATGTAGGCTCAGAGGGTTTGTGCTGTGGTCATAGTTTACGCCTGCAATGAGCCCAAACTGCTTGAACTTTTGCCCCAGGAAGCCAAAACCTGTGTCTTGACCCGCAGAGGAGCAGTAGAGGCCTGCCCCGCCCCCGGAGAGAGGGCTCCAGGAAAGGAGATGGAGTCCAGCTTGGAGAGGAAGGCCATACCGGGGATCTGCGATGCCCGGATTCATCTCTAGCTTCTGGACTTGGCCTAGCACCATCCCCATGGGCCAGGGATGGGGCATGACCTGGAGACATAGTTCCCTCTGTGACAGCGGAGGGACCTGATGCCAGCTGACCCTAGCACATGGGTCAGGGACCTAACCTGTGCCAAAGCTTCTCTGCTGTCTCTGTCTCCTGCCTCCTATCTCCAGCACCAGCTGGGCCTGTGGCCTGGGAGCAGGGCTTCCTCTCCAGCTGGGCTCTTCCAGCTTGGGGTCGCAGCTGTCCAGGCCTTTGGCACCCACAGGCTGGGGCCCTGGCCTGGCTAGTCAGAGCCCTGTGTGTGTTCGCAGGCTGCCAGGCCCCAGCAGCTTCTCTAAATATTATTCTTAGGAGATTTTGGTCCAGCCACTTTGATGGGCCTTCTCATTGCCCACTGTCTTTGTATCCTAGACTATGTGGTGTTTCCCCAGTTGTGCTTCACCCCTAGTCACGCTCAGCCCTGAGTTTCATGCTATTAATTCCAGGGCTGGAGGGGCGTTTCCTTGCCCAAAGCCTTAGTAAAGGTTCTAGAACCAGGATGCCCTGAACCATCCTTATATGTACAAAGGTGGATTTGTTGTCTGGCCGAATGGACCTTGTGTGCAGTATGGTTGTGCTGATTATCCCCACCCCCAGGTTGTCTTGGAGGCTTAATGAGATGAAATTGTGAAGTCCTCTGCTGATAGGAATCATATTGATCCAAACACTGAAGGGTAGACCAAGTCAATCAGTGGGGACAGATTGTCAGAACAGGAGGCCTCCTGAGAGCCCATCTGCTCTATCTGCAGAGGGTTGCAGACACTTCTTTAAAGACACACAGCCAGTAAGGAGTGACTACTTTGGCGTGGTGCTGTGGGTTAATGCGCTGGACTACAAAGGTGGTTTGAACTGCAAAGCTCATAGCTGCTCCTTGGAACCTCTACACAGGTTTGCTATGGGTCAGTACTGACTCGATGGCACTTAACAACAACTCTTTAACACATCTCTGAAAGATACAATGGTTTGTGCTCAACAGCTAATAAAAAAGTTGGTGGTATGAATCCATCCAGTAGTTCTGCATTAGAAAGACCTGGTAATTTACTTCTGCATGATTGTAGTCTTGGAAAACCTGATTGAGTGCAGTTCCACTCCAAAATGTGGTGTTGTCATAAGTTGGAATCAACTCAATGGCAGTGGATTTTGGTTTTTGATAGAAGCACTTACTTGATGCTTGGTCATTTGCTGGGTCTGGGATTCAAGACAAATTAAACCTGGTGACTTTATCACCAGAGTTCTCTTTCCTGATGGCTTATTATACAGGGATGTCCTCCACTGAGCACAGAACTGGGTTGGCCTGTAAGTAAGTGGGATTTAGGTTAGACTGAAGGCAGGCCTCTCCGTACAAATGGTGCCCGAGGTTCTGGTTGTGGAAAGGGATGGTGATGTGCTGAGCTCCTAGTTTCTGTTCATTCAGGATTTCAGGTCTGTTAAGAAGTAATGGTGATAGACCTACCTCACCTGGCTTTTGTGTGTGTGTAAATTTTTATTGTGAACTGAGTGATAGTTTACATGGGAGAACATCGGCTTTACACCATCATTTCATTGCAATGATTACAATCTCCTCCATGCATCACCATTCAACAGTATTTGCTTCCATGCCCTGTTTCTTTTGGGGGTGGGTGGGTGGGAGGGATGTACACAGAAACACTCAGGAATATATAATCATTTAAACAACCAAAGGGCACATTCTGCAAGCCTGCCTCATGGCCACCAGCACCTAGTCCTTCTCTTTCCATGTGTCCAGTCTTCAGCTGTTCCCTCTCTCCATGTCCTCATCTCTGTTTTCATCTCTGGTGTCGCTGCTTCTCTGGGTAGGGTCCCGCACACTGCTTGTGCTCTTCTTTCTTGATGGTCCTAGGGTCCTCTGTTTCTGTACTGTTAGATGAACTAATCCCCTGTTTTTGTTACAAAACTTCTACCTTTATAGTTGTGACAGTCACAGTTAGTCATGATAATAATTGCTCACTATTGAATCATAAAAATCTTATTCTCATCTTTTTTTATCAGACCCGTCTAGGCAAGATGAAAACTATTCAGTGGGGACACTACCATCCCCCACACTCTTAAACTAAACTCCCTCTTGAAAACTTGTAAGCCAGTCACTTCGTGCCTTTATTGCTCCCTCATTTTAAGCAGCCAATGCCTAAATTGCCCATCCCTATCTACCCTGTAAGGAGCTCTGGTAGCATAGTGGTTACGAATCGCCTGCTAACCTCAGGGTCAGCAGTTTGAAACTACCAGCTGTTCTGCGGGAGAAAGATGAGGGTTTCTGCTCCCTTAAAGATTTACAGCCTTAGAAACCCTGTACAAGGTCGCTATGAGTCGGAACCGATTCCACAGCAAATAACAACAACAATCTACCCTGTATACAGAGGGGATAGGATTGATTTTGGACGTGAAGACTCCTTCCCTCTCAGTTGGTATTTTGAGCTACTATATCATCCATAAGTATAGGTCAAGTTCATCAAATTATAGCAATTTACACTCATTTCCTTTATCAAAAATTGTTGTTGTTGTTGTTTTTTCCTCTAGTTGAGTTCTGATTATCAAGCCATTGAGACTTGGTCAAATGGGTACTGTCTCCAAGTTTGGGCATTCTTGCTGGATGCTTCACTCTCAGTTCTAGCCCTCCGTGGCTATGTCCTTGTCCATGGGCTTATCACCTGTCATTTTTACAAAGTGGTCCTGGCTCCTTTTCCTCCACTCTGCAGATCCAAGTCTGGAGCTTCTCCAGGAAGTGGGGAAGATAGGAGGAGAACAGGGGGTTCAAGTCCTGCCTCTGTCATTTGGAAGCAGTGGTGTTTGGGGAAGCCACCTGCCTTTCCTAAGCTTTATGTTCTTCATCTGTGCCATGGAGATTCTAGTGGACTCTTCCTAGGGAATGTTGGGCAGGTATGGGAGGTCCTAAACTCAGTAAGCAAGAGCCTGTTTCAGCTGTGGTCAATTTCATCCCTGGGGAAGCAACACCCAGTCTCCTTTCCACCCACCCTGGCACCCCTGGGGCCCCAGCAACAGCTGGTGTCCTTGCTCTGGAGAAGTTTTCCTGTCCTGGGGCAGCTAATGTTTATGGAAACAATGTGGGGGAGGAGGGAGGGAAAGCTGGACTGCTGGTCTGGGAAGGAGGAGCCTCCACCTCTTGGTAAGAAGGGAATATGGGCAGACTCCTGGCTCTGCTGCTTGCTGGGGCAGCGGGAGGACTTTAAGCCAGACTTCAGTGCATGCTGCTGAGGAAGATAAAGGAGTTGCTTTGACCAAGCTGTAAATGACCAGTTTCCTTACTTCATTTTATTAATCCAACAACTATTTGTGGAGTTCTGGCCAGCATGGGTGGTTGAATGTCTCCAAGACTGGGTGGAGGTAGTTGATCAGTAGATATACAGGGCCCTAGTTTGTGTGCAGTCTGTAGGGTGGGGAGAGAAAGGCAGGGAAGGTATGGCCCCTTCCCTTGGGAGCTTATGGTGGAGAAGAGCAGATTTTATTGGAATCCACAGTCAGGGTGAGGAAGAGCTGAGGAGTTGGCTTTCTGGTGGAAAAGACCCCTGGTGGCACTTTAGGTTAAGTGTCGGACTCCACAGGAAAAAGATGAGGCTGTCTGTTTCCGTAAAGATTTACAGTCTTGGAAACCCTAGTCAGGGTCACTATGGAATCAACTTGATGGCCGTGGGTTTTTTAGTTTCTGGTGGAGGCAAGGCATGAGTTTGGTCAAAAGGGCTGGATAGGTTTAGAGGAACTTTATTAGGGAGGGTAAGAGCCTCAGCCTTGGGCTAAGGGAAGGGAATGTGACAGAAAGTTTGAGCTGGAAGGAGCTTTGAAATCCCTACTGCAGTGTTGGTGTGGAATACCATTGAGTCAGTTTGATTCTAACTCATAGGGACTCCATGTGACAGGGTAGACCTGCCCTCATAGGGTTTTCTAGGCTGTGATCTCTAGGACAGCCTGCCAGATCTTTCTCCCATGCAACCATTGGCTGGGTTTGATCCACTAACCTGACAGTTAGCAGCTGAGTGCTTAATTGTTTCTCCACGAGAGCTCCTTTCTATCATGTTGTTGTTGTGTGCCATGGAGTTGGTTCTGACTCATAGCGACCCTGTACAGGGTTTCCGAGGCTGTAAATCTTTACGGGAGCAGATAGTTGTTAAGTGCTGCTGAGTTGGTTCCGACCCATAGCAACCCTGTATAGGGTTTCCGAGGGGCAGCCGGTGAGCTTGAACGGCCAACCTTGTGGTTCAAATCAACTTTGCAGTCCAATACATTAATTAACCCACAGCACCACACCAGGACTCTGTTACTGAGCCTAGAGAAGGAATGGACTATGCTTAGTGACTGGTAGGTCTGGACATTGGTGATAACTGGCCAGGTGAATTAGGCAGGTGATCAGGAGGCGAGCTCAGGCAGGGCTGAGAAATCCATTCTTTGAGGGGTGAGATTCCTGAGTCAGCTGAGTTTCATTTCTGGGCCTGAGTGAGGGAGAGGCAGGGGTGCCTGGATTCTGACCAGGGAATTGTTGCCGTTAAGTGCCCTTGAGTCAGTTCCCACTTGTAGAGACTCTGTATAGGGTTTCTGAGGAGTCATTAGTGGGTGTGAATTGCTGACCTTTTGGTTAGTAGTCCAGTGCTGATCCTACAGTGCCATACCAGGACTCCAGGGGCAAATTACCCAATAAACAAGTGAAGCACAGACTTAGGTTTACTTACTAATCTATACTGAACAATTTTACATTTTTTCGCCATATTAAAGATTCTGCTTGTAAGTATGGTCTCTTTCCCAATTCAGCATCTTCCTGTAAAATGAAAGCCTCTTTTCAAATTTACAATCCCTGTGACAGGGACAGAGTCCCCAGTAAGTAAGAGCAGCATGGTTTACTTACTAATCTGTAGTGCATCTCAACACAACGTCCTTCCCTTACTTACTGGGTACTCTGCTCTGACCCTGGCAGCCACATCTGCTGGGTCAGCCTGATAGGGCCTTTTCGTCCAACTCTCCTGTGGCTGGCCCCCAGATGCCCACTGAAGGGCTGTGGGGAGTCACCACAACTTAAGTAGAATGGTGTGCATTGTAGTCATTTTTGTTTGTTGTCAGGTGTGTGTGTGTTGAAAGGGACGGAGCGGGAGCCCTCTCTGAGGGAGGTGCTGAGAGGACCTTACTATCCAGGCTAGGAAGTTGGGAGACTGAGACCCAAGGTTATGCCTTCTGATCATGAGTTCCTGAGATGGCTGACCATCTTCTTTCCCTTTTTGCTACCCTCTTGATCCCCAATAATCAGTTGTACAGAGAACAGAAGTGCCATGTCACTTTGGCTCTGAGCTCAGAGAAGGAAGTATGTGTATGCTTAACAAGGGAGCTGGTGTTTGTTATGTAAGGCTTGGGAAGGAGCCTGCTGTCAGGAGCTCCTCTGTGGCTCTGTGTCTGATTCAACTGGCCACCTCATTTTGGAGTCCACTTTGGTGTGGCGCTGTAGGATCAGCACCACCAACCACTCCCCAGAAATACTACATAAGCTCACTATGACTCGGAATCGATTCTACAGCACTTACAACAACTGCACTACTGGGTTGACTCAAATAAACTCCAGAGTCTCTAACTTTGTTGTCTGAGGACTCACTGAGGCGGTGCAGATTTGAGCTATGTGGTCAGTGAGATATAGGTTAGACACCAGGAGGAACTTTCTTGTGGGGGCTTTTGCAGGAGGCAAGAGGGCTAATGCCAGAGCTCCGTGCAGTCTCTTAGGAGGTTTCCCAGCCACTTCTCTCCTGTTGTTTTCTTGGTTCCTGACTTTCATGAGAGTCTTTAAGCCTAGTCTCCAACCCTGACTTGGGCTAAGATTGGGCTTATTGGGAACTGGAGCTGAGATAGCTGAGGCTCTAGGACCATCCCTTCCCCTCAAATTCCACATTTAGGGAAAACTTCTTTCCTTGGATTTGGAGTCTGTGCTGGTAGGATGTAAGTGCAGGGATGAGGCAGTGGGTCTCATGTGACTGGCTGAGTGACCTCTCTGAGTTTTCCTTTTTCTGGCTTCAGTTTCTCCTCTGCAAAGAGGGTATTGTCACTCCTGCTTTTCCTTCCTTTCTGCAAAAATAGAGGCGAGGGAAGGCCTCATAGTCCTAGTGTCCAGGTGCTCACCTAGCATGAGCCTGAGCTGGGAGAAACTCCCATCCTTGTTCTTTTCTGGAACCCCACAAACTGCCCTTGTTACTGACTCCTGACTTGGCAGTAAGTGAATGATCTAGAAGCCCATGCCTGTAGTATCTTATCAGCTGTTTTCTAGCCTTTGATGTCATGACCTGGGGTCTAGACTACCCCCTCTGTGGTGGCAGCAGGGAGGGAAGGGGACTTTTCCTAAGGGTGTGATGTGGGAAAAGCTGGAGCTGCCTGGTAATGGTACAGCTAGTGATTTATGCTCATCACTGTCAACACTGGGGGACCCTTAGGGGACACTGAAGTCCAGAGAGGAGTCACTCAGTGACAGAGGACCCCCCATCAAGGGCAGGATAGGGCCTTGGAGGGCCACCTTACAGTCTCTGATCCCATTTCTTATCCACAGTGAACCCCTGTTGCTACTATCCATGCCAGCACCAAGGCATCTGCGTCCGCTTTGGTCTCGATCTCTACCAATGTGACTGCACTCGCACGGGCTACTCCGGCCCCAACTGCACCGTCCGTGAGCATGGCCTGGAACCCTCCTCCTCTCCCCTAGCTCCTCTCTGAAGACCCCCATGTGGCCCTACTCTTATTCCCTTCCTGGCTGTGCTGCTCTCCCTGATCTGCTCTGTCCTGAACTCTCATCCACAGTCCATCCTTCCTCCTAGTTTTAGGCTCTGTGGGAAGTCTTCACTGACCGGCCCCACCCTCAGTCCCTAATGCTGTCCCCTGACCTCATTTCTGGTTCTGATTCTTACGTGCACCATCACTCCCACAGCCCCATCCTTCCTTACTTACCCCATATGGACTCCTTGTCCCATCCCGACCCTTGTCCCCAGTTTACATCTTCTACCCTGGCTACTCTGGTCCTGTCAATAGGGCCCAGCTGAGTGGCTCCCATTGCTCCTGCAGCGGAGTTATGGACCTGGCTCCGGAATACATTAAGACCCAGCCCTTCCTTTCTCCATTTCCTGCTGACCCACGGGCACTGGCTTTGGAAGTTTATAAATGCCACCTTCATCCGTGATATGCTTATGCGCATGGTACTCACAGGTGAGTGGGGGCAGGGTCGCCCCTAATCTGGGGAACATCAGAGTAAGCAATCCTTCACATTCTTGAACTCTGATGGGCAATGGGTGGGAGATGCTACAGTGCCAGATAAATCAAGTCCTAACTCAAGAGGGGGGAGGAAAAGGAATGTAACTGGGACTAGAAGCCCCCTTGTCATCATTATGTTCACCCTCTACAGTGCGTTCCAACCTTGTTCCCAGCCCTCCAACCTACAACTCAGCACATGACTACATCAACTGGGAGTCCTTCTCCAATATGAGCTATTACACCCGAATTCTGCCCTCTGTGCCTCAAGACTGCCCAACACCCATGGGAACCAAAGGTAATGAAGATGGGTGAGAGACTGGGCCTGGGAATCACAGGGAATACTTAGTTCTTTTTGGGGCAAAGCAGAAAGAACACTTCTGTGCCCACTTCACATTTGGGTGGACCAAGGCAGATCGAGGACATATCCAGAACCAAGAATGACAGGAAAAGGCGTTTAAGGATTTAATGTAAGGCATCTAGAAAGTCTCCGGCAGAGTCAGACTAGTTCCTGATCCTTGTCTACTGAATGAACGGGGAGCCTGCTGGTGGAGTGGTGACTTGGAAGTTTAAAAGTGGGAAGGGAGAAAGAATATTTTATTTATTGGAGTCCTGGTATGGCACTGTAGGATAAGCACTGGACCACAAAGTCAGTTTGAACAGCAAGGTCAATGATTCAAACTTACCAGCTGCTCCTCGGAAAACCTATACAGGGTCACTGTGAGTCGGAAACGATGGCACTTAACAACAACAAGCAGTGTGGCACTGTAGAATAAGCACTGAACTGCTAGCCACAAGGTCACAGTTTAAACTTATCAGCTGCTCCTCAGAAACCCTACATAGGGTTGCTGTGCATTAGCACTGACTTAACAGCACTTAGTTATATCTCTGTTTCTGTCTCTGACTCTATCTCTGTCTCTACATCTGTATCTTGGGAGAAAGATGAGGCTTTCTGCTCCTGAAAAGATTTAAGCCTCATAAACCCTATACAGATCCATTATGAGTCCGGAATGACTCGATGGCACTTAACAGCAACATATCTATATTTATACTTATTTGTATCCAATAATTGTGAAATATGTTAACCTATTTAATTAGTATGTACAGAATTGTTGTTATTGTAAGTGCTTGTAGTGTGGAGCCACCATACTTCCAAGACTGTATATACAGATTATATATCTCTATATCTATCTATCTATCTATCTATCTATCTATCTATATCTATCTACCTATATCTAGCTATATATCTATATCTATAGATATATGATATATAGTCCTGGTGTGGTGCTGTAGGTTAATGCGTCAGACTGCAGAGTCGTTTGAACTGCAAAGATCGGTGGTTCAAGCTTACCAGCTGCTCCTTGGAAACCCCATACAGGGTCATTATGGGTTGGAATTGACTTGAAAGCATTTAACAACAACTTATATAT